ATTTACAGGGGAGCAGTTTCTGGATTACCTAAAAGGATCATGTACTCAAAATTTTCAGGGAATAGACTGAGATATATATAAATACATTACTAAGGTCTGAAACATTTTCAGTTTTTGCTCTCGTTCTATCGCATAAAGTTATAGTTGAATTAAATTTTCGTATAGACTTTTCTTTTTGTAAAATTTTACCTAAAATCTTTGCGATTACTTTAGTCCAGAGAACAAAAGTTACTTCTTACTGACAAAAAGCTAACATTAGTATAAATTTAATTATAAATTTAATACATAGCTAAAACTTACCTTGAATTCCACTAAAGATTACCATATAACTTTTTTCACGGTACTTTTTAAAAAGAAAAAGCAATTAGGAGATATAAGTTCAAATGGAAAGAGGGAGGCTTATTTGAAGCCCTACAGAGAGTGATAACCATCAATTGGATTTGCCATTCTATTGGCTACTAAACTAAAATTGTTCCTTCAATTCTTCGTTATTGGATTATAATTATTTCGACGATCATAATGATATACTAGAATATCATTTCCATTTATACTGACGTTTGTAAGATGATGATATCTCAAGCCTTACCATCCCATTTCTATATTCTTCTGATCTTCTTGGAAGAAAAAGGTATAATGATAATGTCTCGACCCCAAACTCAGAACAACTATGTACTCATATCCCATATATACTTTATAAATACGCTAAAATGTGCAGAATCTCTATAAATATCTGTAGAACAATCTGATAGAGTTCACATCTGATAGGGAAACTAACGAACATGAGGTTTTAACGTATTTAATGCATGTCTTATGAATATCGATCCTCTATAGATATAGTTAAACCGTGGCATACTTCATCAAGAGCACCATACTTTCTAGTGCCGAGATTACAAGTATAAAAGACGTTGCCTTGCTCACGCAGTTTTCTGTATATGGCGCTATCCACTCCCTTCGAATGGAAATTCTTTAGCGCTATCCACTTCTTTTGTTAACTTGAAATCTATTACGAGATTAGAAAGCGTGGATCTTGCAATAAGTTTGTAATCTAAAGTCTAGACATTAAATGTGCATCAGTATCGTAAACTAATCATAAGATGCAGTGTAATGATGCATTTCCGAATGTGACCTGTATTCTTTATACATACAACAATGACTTTCGAATATTATGCCATTGTGTTAGATGTCTAAAATGGCATATCCTTAAGGCGAAAGGCCCGACTTATATGATAGCAGCAAATGAACATCTAGACGATTTTCCAAATACTTTCCACTAGGCAAGTACTTAATACATCAGTCATTTAATGTATTGGAATATTGTCGTAGTTCTTTGAATAATAAATCAAGCCCTTTAGATGATATCAATGTAGATTGATTAGTACATTTCTACAAGCCAACAACTTTTTATAGGCTTATACTGAATCCGAATTTGGCATCAGAATTTCTCCATTTCAAGACCATCTGTTTTACCAATCGGCTCAGAATCATCTGAGTCAATTAAACTATGTCCGTCTGTGTGTCCATGTAAACCATGTGCTACAGATAGAAATTTTCAAGGTCGAAGCCTATTGAAAAAGGGTTGAAATCTGTCCATTATTTCACCTTGCCATATACAAATGTATCTTGCTAATACGGCTTTGAAGCTCATAATTATGTTAAATGTTCTATTAACAACTCTACACAGTTTTATGTAAGTTTAAATAAGTGGCCTCCGGAAGGTTAGTGGTTAGTGTTCTAGTGTGGTTAGTGTGTTAGTGTTCTAGACTGGAGGTGATGGGTTCGATTCTCACCGGAGGCACTGGTAAAGGAGCTCACAACAGGCCCGATAGAGGCCTAGGTGTATTTCTTCGGATTTGATGTACATCTAAATAAACGATACTCCCGATTTTCGTAATTATCAGACTTTTCTTGACCTTTACAAAATGGCTTGAATGTCAATAACTCAGACAAACAAATTTTTAACCCAGAGACCAAAGTTTCTCCACCGCTGAATCCGAATATATCTGCTCCATCACATCTGGGATTTGTGATATCGTGTCCTAAAGATTTTTAAAATATTGTATGACATCTGAAAGTCCATTCTGTCAACTTTAAAACAAATCTTTTTTCTTTTTCGAGATATCTTTACCCAAAGCTTGATATTACAATACAACAACTTACAAAACAACTTATGCATTCCAATTTTTCCTCTGAATTTACTTCTTGAATTGTTGTAAAATATGCTGTAGTTGTTGAGATATCATTCGTTAAAGTTGATGGACGGACAGACATTGTTAAGTTGGATCAGAAAGTGATTTTGAGTCAATTTTAATATCCTCAGATAGGTGACGGACGGACAGACATCGTTAAGTCGAATCAAAAAGTGAGTTTTAGTCGTTTGAAACATCCTCAGATAGATGTGGATCCAATATTTTTGTTCATTATAACCGATATTTACAAAGCATTACATCCTCCTAGGTTATAAATTAGTTATTGCCCAATTACACATTACAAGTGATAGTAATTGATCGTGCAATGAATTACTATGAGTAATCATTACCCCACAAGCCTGGTAGAGATCGAATAGATATGTAATCGTAACCTGAAGTAGAGTATTAAGGACAATAAAAATTGCTTCCTTTTATATGTTAACTTTGAAGGAAAGTTTAAGATGAAAAAACTATGAACTGATTTAAGAAATCTAAATTATATTTAAAATAGAAACCAAGTCCAAATTATATTGAAACAAACCTAAAATTCAAATTAAGAAAATAATACAGAAAAAAACCGAAAAATCAACTCTGCAAAAGTTTAAAACTTTTTAGTTTTTTTTTTTGTTAAAATGAATACCAAGTTAAGTTTTTGTTTTTTTTGCTTTTCATTGTTTGTTTTTTGTTGCTCATTTGTATAGAAAATAGAACTTGTTTTCACACATTTTGTTTGTTTTTTTTTTACAAATATTTATTTTAAATTTTTTTTGTTTTTTAAATTTGTTTTTTTTTTTTAATATTAATTAATTTACACATTTAAACATACAATTAATACATTATTATTTATAATAATTATTATAATTTATATATATATTCAATTACATTAGATGTATATTAAATATATTTTATTTGTTTTTTTTTATTTTATTTATACTTTAAATTATGTTTTCAATTTAGTATTTGTTTTTATATTTTAATAATTATAAACTAATATTTATATTTAGATTAGATTAAGATTTATATATTAATTTTATACAAATTGCATTTATAATTAGATTTATTTTTATATATATATATATTTATAGGTATATGTATACTTTATATAACTTGACTATATTTCCACTTTTTTTTGTAATTTGTTTTTTAGAATGATTTTTTTTTTTAAATTTTTTTATGGATTTTTAAGATTTTTTTTTTAAATTTTAGTTTAATTTTGCTTAAATTATTACACACAGATTTTGTTTTTTTTTTTTACTTTAGTAATGAGAGAAAAAGGAGCAGATTTAAGGAGGGAGTAGGTGGTGGTGTTGGGAGTCTGAAAATTTGGGTTTTAGGTTAGAAAAAGAGTTCTTAAAAAAACGGTTTTAGTTTTATTTTCTTTTTTTTCTTGTTTAACTTAATATTGTGTTTTATTTTCTCACTATGATTTTCTTATTTTTTTGTTGTTTTTTGTATATAGTAGTAGTAAGTATAATATATTTTATTTTCGGTAATATTTGTTTTTTTCCTTTTTTGATTATTTTTATGATTTTTTTTGCTTGTTTTAGTTTTATAACATAAAAATTAGTATTTTTTATGGTTTTCGGCTAAAATTAGTTTTTTTTTTATTTGTAATTTTATGTATATGTTTGCAGGGATAAATATTTTTTTAATTTGGGGGTTTTTGGGGGTAAAGATTTAATGTCCTTTGGGATGAATTGTAACTATTTTTTTAGTATTTAGTATATTTTTTTTATAACTTTTCTAAAGCGTTGCCTTGTTTTTGGTGGTTTCTGTTACGCAACTGTGTTTAAACAAAATTTTTCTTTGAAATTTTATAAAATTAAAAATCTTTTTTTTTTAATATTTAAAAGAATATTGTTTTGTTGTAATTACTTAATTAAAATTTTTACTATTTTATCATTTACTGTTTGAAAGTTGTAAAATATTTTATAAAAAGTTTTAAATTTCCAACTGTTTTAGGGCTTTTGAATTTAAATTAAACCAGAAAAAGCTGATTTCTAAAGTAATTGAATAATTTTCTTTATAAAATACATCAAATCCTTTAAATTCTCTTAAATTACACAGGCCATATGGTATGTATAGTGGTTTTAAACCTTATGTTTAGATATCTCGAAGAAAGAAGAAGTTATAACAGAGGTTTAACCTTTATTTTATAGTCAACAGATTGAACTGTCAGATGTCATAACAGATTTTAAACATAAAGGTATCTCTGAGCTTTTAAAGTGTCTCAAAAATGACCAAAATTGTATGCCACGATATTTGGAAAACCTTATGTGATGGATAAATTCAGAGGCCAGATTCGGATTCAGCACTGCTAAATCCTATAGAAAAGTATAATTTGGTTGCTGGGTTCTACAATTTCAAATCAAAAATTGAATTGAATTGAATAAAACACGATTTAAGAACTAGTTCCAATCTTGACAGTTTCAATGAAAAAATGATTGAAAAACAACTAATTCTAAGATTGTTACATTTGCTCTCTTAAGTTTTCCTTGAACTCAATTCCGATGGCGATAATTTGGGGAAACCGTTCTATAGGACAAATATCGACTGTATAACGCTTTCACAGAACCAGTTACGAATGATTTTGTTCCTCCATTTGACAAGTTCGCATTAGAACCTAATGTGTTTGAATTAACTCATGGCAATCGTCATCAGTCAAAGATATTCGATAGAAAGTTTTTTCCACAAGAACTAATTATCAGCAATGAATGCAAAACAAAGATCTACAGTAATCTTGTCTTCCCAATTAAAAGATAATTCTGTTTACTACTGTCAACTAGGCCCATGTGATGTCAGTTGAATGTTTTCTCCCTGTGAAGGAACTTTCTGCAACATTTAAACTGTTACAACAACTATTTGCTAGATGGAAGACAAAATAAGTAGGATTAATCCACAGGCTAGTCAATAGACTAGTTCATAGACATGTGAATAGATTAGACAATAGACTATTCCATAGACTAGTCATAAACCATTTAATAGACTATCCCAGAGAAGATCATAGACTAGTCAATAGATAGACATGTGAATGAAACAATAGACCAGCCATAGACCATTTAATATACTGTTCCAGAGACTTGTTCATAGACTAGTTCATATATGTACAAGTGAATAGATAAGACAATAGACTATTTCATAGACGAACCATAGACCATTTAATAGACTATCCCAGAGACTTGTTCATAGACTAGACAATAGACATAGACATGTCCGTGGACTAGATAATAGACTAGTCAATAGACTTGTCCATAAACTAGTCCCTAAATTAGTCTATAGACTTGTTCCTAGATTAGTCAATGGCCTCGTCAATAGACAAATCCATACAATAGTCAATCGATTAAATAATAAACTATTCAATCGACTAGTCCATAGACAAGTCAATAGATTTGACAATAAAGTCAATAGACTATTCCATAGTGTAGTCAATAGACTATTCCGTAGACTAGCCTATAGTCTGGTCAATAGACTAGTTCATATATTAGTCCACCCATAGTCCAGTAATAGCATAATCCATAGATTACTCTAATCCATAGTTTAGAGGTTTTCAGCGATAGTACTAAGATACTTTTTCTTTACAATTCTTCGCTCATAGGACCAGTGTCATGCTCAGTCTTAGTTATATGAATAGATTTTCCTCTGGAAAGAACTATCGGCAATAGAGAAGCTTATAGAACAAAGGTTAAACCTTTATTTCAAAGTCTACAGATTGGACTTTCAGATGACATAACAAATAAAGATGACTTCGAGCTGTTATAAAGTCTTAAATATGGCAATATTTTTAGGATACAATATCTCCAAAATCTGATGTGATAAAGAAATTCTATGTCTAGATTCCATTCCAGAACAGCTCAATCCTTTAGAAAAGTATTCTTTGGTTAAAAATTTGTTGGCCTGAGTTATTTTAGAATGCAAATAAACAACACTGTATACAAATTTGCTAAAATTATTTCCTAATTTATTTCAAATCGAAATACTAATACCGAAAAAGGTTTAAATACCAATACCGCTATCTTTTCACCATTTCGAAACTGTTGGCAACCTTACCCAGTACTTAACATATCCTCCAATTTAAAGATTCAATTTCGAAAACTTTCAATAAACAAGTTGGAAATTTAAAACAGAAAGAGAAGAAAGATTTCAAAACGACAACAATATTGTAACAAAACAAAAAAATTAAAATAACTATTATTATAGGGATTTTGGTAGCTCGGGATTTACTTTATCTGTTCATGATTAAAACATTCTATAATTTTATATATGTATGTATGTGTGTGTGTGTATATAAATCTATGACAAAATTATTATATTTCTTAATATTTCTGTAATTTAGTTTTTATTTTTTTCTTTTCTTTATAATATTCTCCTCATTTTGTTTTTTTTTGCAAAATCGTTGATGCTAATGATGGGCGGAACTGTTTTAAATTTATTTTTAATTTTTCCTCTAACTGACTTTTTTTCTAACAAAACCAAATCAATAATTGTAGCGTTTCTTCTATCCATCGTTGCCTAAAGTAAAAGTAAACAATGTTTTTTGAAAATATGTTGAATTGTTGATGTAACTGAATGTAACGGGAACAAGTGGTTGTTTGTTGTTGCTTGGTGTAAAAAATGATGTTTGTTTGATTTTGTTTTTTTAAATTTAATCTTAAATTAAATATAGATTTAAATCGTTGCAGTTTGTTCTCTTTTTTTTTTGTTTGTTTGTTGGTTTGTTTTATTTGTTTTTGTGTGATTTGTGTCATGTTTATTTGACAAAGGTGGGAGCATTTTCATTTTTTGTTAATTTGTTTATATACTTTATCAATCTTCTTTGTTAGTAGTATATTCCGACTTGATGTCGTAACTCTTTGATTTTTAATTTTCTTGTTATCTGCTGCTGCTGTTGTTGTCTTTTCTTGCACACAAACGAGTATAGTTTTCTGGAAGGCTTTTTAGTCGTTATTTTTTGTAATTATTGCTTTGGCGGCAAAATATATAAATAAGAGGCCTTCTTGTTTTTTGTTAATTACAACCATTTTCCATATTCCATTGCAATGTTTCGAGTTTAATTAGTAGTAGCAGCTCCAGAACGCCAAGTTATAATTGAGGACTGTAAGAGAAATGAAAGAAATAGATTAGAAAATGTTGTTGTACTTTTTTATTTAAAATATACTTTATATGTTTCTAAGATTGTAGAGTCACAATGAACAAGACTAGACTATAGTCTAGACTATAGACTAGACTATAGACTATAGACTAGACTATAGACTAGACTATAGACTAGACTATAGACTAGACTATAGACTAGACTATAGACTAGACTAGACTAGAC